CCCTCTCTCTTCTCATTGACTCACTGGCTGTGATTGACAGCAGTGGGAGCCAATGGCTCCTGCTTCTGTCTCAACAAATGAGAAGAGGGAGTCCTGGGATAGCTGAGACTCCATTGCTGGATCGAGAGGAAGCTTAGGTGAGTATTGTGGGGGGGAGGGGAGGCGGGGGCTGGGGGGGAAGCTGCACAGAGAAGCATTTTTTTACCTTGATGCATAGAATGTAAAAAAAAACCTAGAGCCTTTAGAAGCACTTTAAAGATGGTCTGACGGGGACGTGCCCTCTTCATTGACAAGTTTTTTCATTGATTACACTGTTTGTAGTATGATACGTGAATTTAGGAGAGAATTCTGTGACTGATCAGACTCTCCCTAATTGACACATTGTGTTAAAACAGTGTAATCAGTAAAAGGCCTTTTCTCAGTGAAGAGGGCACTTCCCCGTCAGATCATCTTTAATTCAGCTGAGCCCAGAGATCTGAAGCCGTTACACCCCCCCTAGAGAGATGAAAGCTCAGCAACAGGAAGAGGACAGGGTAGCCCTCATTATAGGTAAGTAATGCAAGTAATTGGAGGATTATTTTCTTTCATTTCTATGTCTGGTTGAGGAGTTGGCGCACTACACATTCTTGGTTTATATAAATGTTAAGTGAGAGTACACTTAGTGGGTACATCAATCTTCCTTTTATTTTTATTTAGGGTGTGGCAGTGCACAAGTGTAAGCCTTTTCACTCAATGCAAGTAAAGCTGTGGAGAAAAAGCATGTTTCCACTTTAAAATGTCACAGCACTGACCTTTCATTCTTTTCCATTGCTTTCTGCAGCTAAATTAAAGTGCACCTGTCACAAAACTTGGAAATTCAGTCTGAGTACATTTAAAAAAAATCATATGTAGGGGTATTGCAAGAGAACTAGATCTCAAAACAACCAGTTACCTGCAAATATTGGCTTTGAGCAATGTCATTTACCTAACTGGTGTACTAGTATTTCTGTTAGTCTTCTCTCCCTTCTTTTAGGTCCAGTTTACACATGGCACAGTGATCTGCATTTCTCTACAGTGGAAGAACACCATTCATCACTAGGACACACAGAGGCTACTGTTTTCTATGTGTCCTATTCACAATGCAGGATGGGATCACATGTCATTGTACAGCAGCACAGAACATTGTGTTGCTGTATGGTAACATGAATGAAGCGTCACTTTATACACTTTCAGCCCAGGTTCACATAAGTGCGGTATATAGCATGTGATTCGCACAGGAACTGCACTGCATTCCAGTGCAAATTACATGCGATTTTTGTGTGCGGTGTTGGAGCCATACATTTTGTATGGCTCTATTCGCACCGCACCAAAAACGTGTCAGGCCATTTTCCGGTCCGCACTAGAATCAGATTGCATGGGTATTCACACCTATGCAATCCGATTCTGCACATCGCACCACGTTTTGCGGACCGCTATCGGGGTGTTAACGTACACACCTGCAGCGGTTCGCATTAAAGTGGTGCAATTCTGATGCAGTACAGAATTCGCACTGAAAAGGCTGCGAATTCCGCACCACATCAGTGTGAATCAGAGTTTCAGTGAAAAACCAGGAACTGTGTAATGCATTTAAACGCACATCACCCTGCCCCCTACCACTGGCTCAGTGCAGACGGCTGCCGCTCACTAAACCTCTGCAGTTTAGTGTGCGGCAGCTGTCGGGGCAGTGTGACTGGGCCCTTAAGTTTCATAATACCTGAACACATGCTAACTGAGCAGTGCATTTAAAGTGTATGCAAAGTTTAAACACTTTTTTTTTTTTTTTTTTTTTTCTAAATGTAATTTTGGATAGGGTGAAGGAGTATTTAAAGCCCAACTCCAGGGAAATGTCCAGATTTGCCTGCGCTGCAAGGGTTAAAGGAGAAGTGCAGGAATGTAAAATAATAAACCTAGATATCCACCTACCTGGTACAGTTTATCAATCCGATGCTGCAAGCTGTCCCCCCCGCTGTCTCTAAGCCCGAGAACTGAGCAATTGCATGACTGCTGATAACTCAGTTCTTGGGTCTACTCTGGGCACAGAGCAGTGACTGTCAGTCAATGCTTTTGCTCTACCCCTCCAGTGCTCACTAGCGTGTTGGGTAGAGTTGAGGGCGAGAGCTGCTTTTTCTGGTGCTCAACAGCATGCTGAAAGGCTGAGCCAACTACCTGTAAGACATCTGAGTAGATCCTGACAATATTGTCATGATCTCTCCAGAGTCTGAGCAGCTCTGCAATGTCAGCTGGAGGCGGGCTTTAGCCTGCTGTCGGCTGATTCTGTGTCATGTGAGAGCACAAATAAGTGCATTCCTGTGAAGTATGGTCAAAAAAGCTTTGGCCATACTTTTTTTTTTTTTTTTTTTTTTAATTGCTCATTTTGGTCTAGGGCAGGGGTGTCAAACTGGCGGACCTCCAGCTGTTGCGAAACTAATTTCTTTCCAATCAGACACAGCCAGAAAAAAAATCTGCCAAGGATCCAAACCATCCCCTACTTTATTCAAAGCTGAATAAATAAAAAAAAAGTTTTGCCTTTTTTACATACATTTTAATAACTTTTTTGAAAAACAAGCCTTTCACTTGTTTAAAGGAATAACTAATTATCTTTAGCCAGGTTTTATGGATTTCAATTTTATATTTCGGTTGGAATACCAAATCGGTCTAATGTCTGAACACACTTTGTACAACCTAGTAAAAGCCATTTATCTCATTACAAACGCACACATGATATCATGGAACATAACGTCAAGTCCATGGAATTCCAGTCACATTTTATCTGTGAGAAACTTCATATCATTTGTGAGCCAAGATCCTCTAGTGCAACATTTCTTACAGTTTACACTATGCATGTACCTTTCTGTCCAGTCAAATGCACCTACGGATTGTTTTTATCCTCTTGGAAATGTTTTTTCATATTCATTTCTCATGTATCTGAAATATGCAAACTGTTTCAGCATTTATATTCTTATGGTTTCCTTTAAAAATATCAACTGATCTATAATCTACAAGGCTCTATTTTTAACCTCGCAGATTCTTTTCAGTTCTGAAGTGCTGGTTGGCATTTCCCCGTTATTGACTTAACATGTTTTTGTTCTAGAGCCCTTCTGGGTGTAAAGGGACTCCCCGAATATAGTCCCTTTTGGGACAATCCCACTTATAGGGGAACTGGAACACCTTCAGTGTGCAGGGATGAGGAAGAGTTGCGGAATTACTCACCCGAAGCAGATCTTCTGCAATAGATCTCTCCTTTCTTTTGCAGACCAACGTGCTGCATTCCGCCTCCCTTCCACACTGTACTTTTCCTACCTTCAGCTCCGCCATGCTTTCCGAGCCCAGGGCCCTGGGACCAAGTGGTCCTTATCCCCCACACCCATCTTTCACTATGTTCAATCTGTAAAGTACACAAAAGGCTTCATCTCCAGGTGCTGTGACATGCTGCTTTTCCCATACTTAGGACATCCCTGCAAAGCTAAGGAACAATAGGAGCAGGATGTAGGCCCATTGGATGAGGAGTAATGGGATAATGCACTGGAATCGGTCTTACTTGGCTCCCTCAATAGCAGTCAAAGGCTCTCGCAGCTATACATACTACTTTGTGCCCATTATACCCCTCTCAAGCCCCACCGCATTGGTCTCCTCAAGTCTCCTCTTTTGTACTAGATGTGCTACTGCCCAGGCACAGAGTATTTTGCAAACTATGAGAGGACTGGTTAGCTGTTCCAGGCCTTGCACCTACTGATTTGGTGATGGACAGGCTGTTGATTTAATTATTACAGCTTTTGCTTTGTTTTTTTCTTTTTTGGTATGTATCAGTGCTTTGGAAATTATTTCACTGACTTGTTTAACGGTTGTACTTATTTATGTTTAATGGATGTACCTTAAACTTTATTTCTTGTTCTGCACCATGTTTCTTTGTGGAGGCAGCCATCTTTGTAGAGGCAGAGCTTTGCTTCCTCATGTCAGAGCCTCCAGCAAGGAGAACAGTGAGCAGCACATTAGTGACATTACCAGTCTTCCGAGACTAGTATGGTTTTACACAGAGCAGCCCCCAATCCTCCTTTTCTCAGGTCCACGGCAGCACAAGCTGCTTGCTCTGGGAACATTCATGTGAGCTCGCTTCTGAGCCATCTCTGTATGTCTGAGACCCACAGAATGCAGCTCTGCCCCCCCCCCCTCCTCCTCCTCCTCCTCCTCCTCCTCCTCCTCCTCTCACTGGCTGTGATTGACAACCATTTTTTTTGTGTGGAACATGTAACATGTTCCCACTTCCGGAGCCACTGCCCTCTGCACTGCACAATGTAACAGCTAGCGGGGGATCTCCCTCCTGCTAGCTGTCACTGTTAAAAACAAACTTGAATTCTGTTAATGAAAAACCTTTGCGGCTGTCTGCTTGTAGTTCTCAATGAACTATCATGTCGCTGTTGAGCGCTGTGGTAGTTCTTTCTGTCTTCCTGTCTATGTACATCTACCTGCTCTTACAAGGTACCAGCACACAGATATACTGACAGGTCTGCAAAAGCCCTGCATGGCACTGATCGCACGTGCAATACTTTCTAGGATACTATTAAAAACAAAAACAAAATACACTTATTTTTTTACCTGCTAAAAGATGTATTTATTTTTATTTTTTTTTACAAAGGTGAACTTCTCCTTTTACCATTTCTAGATGTCTTGTATGATGTAGCAAATCTTCACTGTTTTCAGGTTCAGGTCTACGTTAACATTTGAACAAATAGCTGATAGTCACTTTAACAATCTTTTAACACACATCTTGCACATAAATTTGGTGCACCAAGAGCATTAATGATGTGTACAGTTATGTAACCTATAGAAATCAATACCCTTTGACTAGTTTTATCATTTGCTGCACTTTGGATGTTGGTCTTTGTCTTCTTGGGGACTTCGTAAACTGATGACAGAGACATTTGGAAGTTCCTCAATGTTCTTTATTGCATCTTACTTGTTTTCTCTTTGCTGTTCAGGTAAAGATGACAGAAGTGGAGCCAGTCCTTGATTTTGCATCTTCTACAAGGACGGGTCGTAGGAACGCTCTTCCTGACATCTTAGGTTCACCAGCAGGAGTAACACCGTCTGATCTCCCTCTCAAATTAGCTGAAATGTCTCTAAATACAGGCAAGCTAATATTATGATTTTCAGTGCCTGCATTACCATACTTTATGCACAATGCACCATTTTTTGTTTGTTGTGAAGCAAAAATGCTCCAGCACAATCACTTGTGTAGCACACAATCCGCAGAGTTTTACGTTTTGTGATCACATAAATACTATTACACTTGATATAGACATACAAGGGGTTATTTACTAAAACTGAAGTGTGCAAAATCTGGTGCAATTCTGCATAGAAAACAGTTTCTTTAAATAGGGGCACATGTTTCAGTGACAACTTTGTAGATATTTACTCTCCCACCCCAATCTCCCCAATATTGAAAAAAAGTAAATTGGGCTTTTAACCTTCTCTGCTTTACCAAAAGAACCAGTTCCTGCCGACCTGGCACATATATACGGCCTCTTGACGGATGGGCTTTAAAGCCGAGTGGCCGCATATATGCGTCTATTGGAAAACACTTTACTGTGCTTAGGACGTGCTCCCTGCGTTCTCCCAGCACATTAACAAACGGTTACCAGAAAACTCCTTATGCATACTTGTGATCAGGAGATTTAAGATCATGTGACTACTGTGACTGCCAATCACAGCAGTCACATGATTGGCATGCTCACCTCCTGGCATCTAGATCCACTTAAAGAGCCAGGAGGTGGCAGCAGGAAGTGGCTATTTAATTAATTAAAAAAAAAAAAAAAAACATTTTGGCTATACATTTTACTATAAGTGCACTATGTCTAAAAATGCACTTATTATTATTTTAGTGTGTGTATAAAGCATTGCACTTTTTTTTTTTTTTTTTTTTTTTTTTTACCTTGTTCATGTAGTGAGAAAAGAGCTTCTATTACTTCCTGTGACATAATCTCTGGGCATGTTAATTTCTTGCAGTGGCAGCTGCTGGGATCTTAGATCCTTTTGATGAAAGCATGCCCCCCAGAACTACATCTCCCCACAGCCCTTACCTTACAGTGTGTGGATAGGCTACCATAAGTCAAATACATAGCATTGTTTTGCTGGGAAAGCAATGAATGTATGCATGTGGAGGGAGATTGAGAGAGGTGGGGATAAGAGCAGTCCTGTAGACTAACTGGCAGGGTGAACAAAGATGGTTGGGATTTCAGTACAGAAAATGCACAGTTTTTTTTTTTTTTCTGCTCAAACAGGAATTTGGGAGTAAATTGGTTTCCTGGCCAATCATCATGCATTCTTCTGTACTTGCACAGATTTTGTACATTTTTTAGAATATGAGGAAATGTGCATGTATGACCAACATGCACTAATTTTTTTTTTTTTTTTTTCCTCTGGTATACACTTCATTAAAGGTTGATAAGGTGAATCTTATTGTGAGATGGTGAAAATGTAACTTTGGGCAAACCGCTTAATACAAAGCTGACCTATATGCAGTACTGTATATAGTATATGAGCTGTTCTACTAGGGTTGGAAAACGCATGACCAGGTGATAGGTGCAGGTTATAACCATAGTTTCAAAGATTTTCTTTAAAAATAAAAATTGAACAAAAGCTCCGCCCCACTTTACACTACATATACCAAACTTAGTGTATCTAAACCCCAAGAGCAATACTTTTATACATTGCAGATATCCAATCCTTTAGACATGGTAGAAACTTTAGCTTTCTGGTTTAATTTTTTTTCTTTCATTCTTTTCATCTGGGGATCCTGCCAGTAACACACTTTCTGTCCTAGGGTGACAATGCTTACTCACTGTCTATGGAGGAGCAGTGTTGTCACCCTAGGAAAGGAAAATGTTCAAGGCCTGTAGAATAACTCCCCCTCTCTTCTCAATAACGAGGGGGTGTTTTTTAGGCTGTAGAAATAGCTTGGAGCAATGTACTTGAAAAGAGTGCAGCAGAGAGAGCACCGGAAGCTATCGCCTCACACGATTTTTGGCAAAATCAACGTGTTGTGTTTTTTTGGGGTTTATTTTGCACTTAAGAGATTTAATATACAAGATTTATATAGCGCCAACAGTTTGCACAGCCCTTTACAAAATTAAGGTAGACATTACAGTTACAATACAATTTAGTACACGAGGAAACCGAGGGCCCTGCTCGTTAGAGCTTACAATCTAAGAGAACATAACAATACTTTCAAACATATATTTAACAGACTAAATATAGCTAATAAAATAAGTTCATTGGTAGGGTTTACATACATAAAAACAGAAGTAGGCATTTCCTGTATAAAGCCTTTTCCGAATGCGGGATCCTAGGAGCCTTCTTCACTCTGCATGAGTCACAACAGGGCAGTTGGGGTCATTTAGCATTGCAACTGCAGACTGTCTAATTCATTTGTTTGTGCGCGACCCATATCTTTCAACAGAACCTTTTTTCAACTCATTAAAAAAGAAAAAAAATTGCTAATTGGTAGATATGTACTAGGCAAACTGGATTAGAGGAGTGAATTGGGCACACTGCCAGTGTATTTTAAGAGCTTTGATCAGAGACAACAGGGTATCAAAAGCAGAATCAAACAATGGATTAAAGCTCAGGAGACCTAGACTATGTACATGAGGTAGACTAGGTTGCCCTGCACTGCTTCCTTGTTGGTGAAAGCTGGTTACAAGCAGATGAAATTGCTGTATGGGCTCAGCGTCAGTTACCTAATTCATAATGTCACACTATGATCATATAGAATTTAATGTGTTGTTCCTCTTTTGTGCCTCTATACTTGGATACCTGTATTTGCATAGAAAGCAAGTTCATTTGTGCCCTTCACATTCTCTTCTTTACAGATCGAGGTCCAGACTTACAGTCTCCTAGTGAATTACCCCAGCAGCCTTCCCATAGCCCTGAACTGAAAGACACATCCTAAACATGTCTAACTTTATAGTACAGAGGGCATTTTTTTTCCTGCATAAAAGCTGGAAAGCAATACAGAAGTCTAAGAAGATTTGGACAACGGAACTGGCCATTTACTGCCTGCTAGAGTGTGGAGAAACTGCTTATGTGAGAGCAGGGGAAACCAAGAATGCTTTAAGAGTCATCACCTCTCACCTTCAAAGATCAGTGCGTAAAGCTGTTTTGGTGTTTACATCCAGATGTTAAGAGTAATCTTTTCGCAGAAGAAAAAAAAACACTGGACATTAATTTAGGATCTAATGCGTGATGTATATCCGCATGTATGTATGTGTGTATTTATAACGTGTGCATATCTATTTATGCAGTACACTACTGTAATCATTTGGTAGCACTTATTCGTTGAATATAGACTTTCTATGTTCTGTGTTTTTGTTATTGCAAAAAAATAGGGCTGGGAACAGTGGAACAAAATAAGATGTTTTTTTTTCTCTGCTGCTGCAAATAAGAGTAAATTGGAAAAGAGTAGTCCAAAGCCCTGAAGACAATGAAGAAGTATCAGGCACTGATGATAAAGAGAGGGATGAAGAGTTTGGAAAGCAGCATTGTTCTTTGGAGAGCAGAAGCCTCGAGTAAGAAAAAGAGAGCAAAATTTTATATTTGTGATGCATCATCATTTTTTAGCTTTGATATCAAGAATCACTGGTTTACATGTTTGTAACAAGATAAATTTGTCTTATTAAGAGGGATAGTTCTTGAGATATCTGAAGCCTCAAAATTCTTGTAGAACAAGAGAATGACATTTTCAGAACTGTCGCCCATGACAAAAAAGAAATCTTGTTTTCTCCAGCAGGTACAACAGTTGGCAGTATAGAAGTATATACAACACATCCTACTAAAACTCTAGCGTCTTTATTCATTTACGGAAACCCTTCACATTCCTATAGCCATGTGCTGTAACAGTTTCGTTTTTTAAACAGCTGCGTACCTTATCTAAAAGCAGCAACCAAGTAGTCTTGATTTCAGTTTCAGTTCTTACAGAAAGATTGGACCAAAAATAATTGCAGATGTTGTACAATAAAAGTTATAAATGTGTCAGGGGGATGAGAGCCATATAAAGTATTTCAGTTTTACCTCTTTGAAATCTATTAATGCTATAAAGTGAATACACAATTTTAACGTGCGCCAAAATGGCAGAGAATGCTCTTGGTTTCAATGTTATTGTGGATTTGTGGTTAGTTCTAAAAGAAACATTTACATAATTTCCAGCACGTTATTGTACTTACCATGGATAGTAACCCTTCATTTTCTTTGGCAGTGTTTGTAAGGAACAACTCATGTGGTATTTTTATCAGCTTTGAACACAATAGGCCTATTACTCTAGATCAGTGTTTCTCCATCTTTTTTCAGGCAAGGCACCCTTTAAACTTACGGGAGTCCTAAGGCACCCTTTAAAATGATGGACAGTCTTGAGGCACCCCATTTTAAAATGGGGTGCCTCAAGACTGTCCATTTTACAAGGGCACCCCATTCTAAAATGTGAAAAACTATTTTAATAGTTTTATATAATGCAGCAACATTCACACATGTAGGACACCCAACATTAGAGGTGATTTATTCTTCTGAAACAAATACGCTTTTGCACATTGGTACTGACTAGTATGCCATTGTTTCTCCTCTCCCTCAGTTTTTCTCCATCACTGAGCTAATGTGACCCCTGCACTGATGGAGAGGGGCAGGGGAGGGTCAAACTAGGATGCAGTGCAGGCAGCTGACAGCCTCCTTATCAACTAATGATGTAATTGGTTGTCAGGACGCCAGTGGCTAGAAGGTTGTAATGGTGCACTATGAAAATGTGTGGCTGTATAACAAAAAGGCAGGCTTGTTCCACCCACTGCCCTGTATACAAGTTTTGGGCAATTTTTAGACATTTTGCCAATGCACCCCTGAAGAAACCTCAAGGCACCCTGGTTGAGAGGCTGTTCTAGACAACAGAAGCAAGCATAGTTACCATCATCCGTACAAATAAAATCATTTGCTATAAGCATCCTTACACATTGTTACAGTATTCCAATACAGGGTAGGACAAGTAAAAACTGAAAGTGGTTCTAAAGGAAAAACATTTTTAATTGGATGCATTCCCTGTATTAAAGTGATTGTAAAGCTTCATATTTTTAAAACTAAAGAAACATGTCATACTTACCTGCTTTGT